AAGAACGGCAACGCTAACACCGGAAGTCGAATGGTGTCGTGTTCAGACTATTCCGCGCGCTCTCCCGTTCTGAAATGACGTTCCCGTCCTCTTGCTAAATCTCTCTATTGATTGATCATGACCTCATCTGATGCAAGATTGGAAACAATCGAAAACAAAGGCGCTTTGGAAAGGGACGCCTAACTGAGTTAAAATGTTTAACTCATTTGTAAATAATCTCCACAGAGGTACATTTCTAAAATATACCTACACTTAGCTAGTAATATGAGTTTCATTAGAGATCAGTTTTATTAATCAGTATCACCCACATGTCTATAACGAAAGAAAAACTGGACTCACTTCGAAATAACTTAAGTTTGGTGCAAACTGGTTATAGCTAATACAGAAGATTGATCAGTTATACTGAATTGTTAACCTTGGTGCAAACTGGTTATAGCTAATACAGAAGATTGATCAGTTATACTGAATTGTTAACCTTGAAATAGTGAGTATTTATAAATAGCGTATTTCAAGTGTTCTCTTAGTTTTCCTTAATCGATCTTCCCTGCCTTCCTCTTTCTGTCATAAGCTTCAATAAGCTTCTTCTTTCCTAAAAAGGGCATTCTTTGCCAGAACCTTATCATGCAAATCAAAGCAACACCCGTGAACAATATCAACAAAAACCCTTCTCCATTAATACTCAATGATATACTAGTTACAAAATATGCCACAAGCAATAGAAAATAAAGAAAAACTCCAGCCCGTCTGTCAAAGGTTTGCGTGATTAAAATTTTATCAACATGGTAGCTTTTGGAAGTTTGCAAGATATACCGACAATCTCAGTGTGTCACCCAAGTCTTGAAGATTTTTTTATCCATCTCTGAATTAAGTGATAGAATCTTTAACATTTTACGCACTCGTCTGCAAATTCCCTTGATGAACAAAGTTTTCTTGATCTCGTGCCTTTCCATGAAATCTAGGGTCGATTTTTCCAATGACAGCGAATCATGGTTCTTTAGGATACAGACTTGCTTATATGGCGTGATAATCTCAGACACCAGTCTAGCAAGAACAAAGTTTAATTCCTTTTTTTAAAGCTCGTTCACTCGGTGGTGTTTTAAATCTGCAATGTTTTCGTGAAACTCACTTGTTTTACTCCTTTGTATTGGCTTAATAGGGGATGGTGAACGGAATTTTGGGATCACATGTTCGTCTCCTTGTTCACTGACTGGTGGCTTTTCCCTAACTTCATCTGAGTCACTCTTTGTGCGATCTATTTCGACATTTTTCATTACCAGTCTATCATGTTTCGCCTGATGGATTTCTTCGTGTGCGCCACCTTCGCTCGATTTCGAATTGATTCCTTCCACGGTCATTTCCAAATCTAATAAGCCATTGGTATTGGCTTTGTTTTTTAGGTTCGCAAACGCCATACTTTTGCAGCTTCAGACACGTGCTTTGAAATACCTTCAGCATTCTTGATAGCTTGATCACGCATGACCATTTAAGTTTTCCATATTTCAGTTGTAACGAGATCCTGAAAACCCTCTAAGTCAGAACTGTCTTGAGCTTTCCTTAATAGCTGTTTCATGGAGTTTGGAAACTGTTCAAACTGCGTTCTCTCTTCCTCGATCCCTGTCATCGTTTCCATCCTGTCGGCTCATTTTATTTTCTTCTCTAACAATAGTAAACACTTGATCTTTCATTTAAGTGACGGCAAGCTCAAGGACACTTTTAAGTTCAGAGTGCATGCGCTGAGTTAGTTTTCTGACGAGATCTTGGCAGTATTGTTCTATTTCTCCACTCCTGATTGCTTTCTTTACGGCCTCGTTGATGTCGTATCTGCTTAAGACTGGAGTTTCAACATCAGTTAATCTTTTTATCTGATCAGAAGTCATTTTAAAGGTTTCATCCATTCAGTTATTTTTCAATGTCGATCATTGTTCATCAAGTTTATCTCATTAATCTTCCTTGTGCTACGGTGATTCACGAGACATGTTTCACTTCTCAGATTTAGATGAGCGTATCGATGTACGCTGTGTCACAGCTAACCACATTCAATTTTGTGAAAGAAATTTTATAAGCAGTGCAAGGCTATGCAAGTTAGGTTCCTCTCTAGTCAAGTCTCGTACAAACCTAAATTTAGAGTGTTTCAACTAGGAGAAATGATAAAACTGAATTTTTTTTCCAGGTGATCTTGGGAAAAATGATTGCAGTTTCTAAATCATCGTGAAGGTTATGATAATTACGTTACGTTAAAATCGAATTTTAGTACTGCGCGTGCGCTTCATCACTGTACCGATCAGTTTTATCCAGTAGCGTTTTGAAGCCAACATGATTGATTTATATAGATGATTTGATTTGAAGCCAAGGTTTTTTTAGATAACGTCTTTGATACAAACCAAATTTGAACTATATACCTATCGTCGGAAAAGAGAGATTTTAAATTATGATGCGCACGCATTATGTCACCGGTTAATTGAACATAATTTTGTTGCTATGCCACCGTGATATATTCATTCGCTGCCAGCCTGTGTGTGGGAAGTTCTCAACCATGTCTTAGAACCTTGAAATGTAGAAACTGTGTTAAGGTATGTATGATTCAGATGTAAAGAGAAATTCTCGCGACAACAAATTTATTTATCCTGTTTAAGTTTTCAACGCATCAATGCAGATGTAGCTTTTTTAGGATGTAGTTACAGTATCAAGATAAAGTTTCGAAATTTTAGAGTCTAGAAATTTTAGAGTCTTTCTTTCGAAATTTTCATCGTTTCAAGCACTAGTACCTTCCTAAATTTCAAGGTAAAGTGGATATGTTCATCAATGTTTGAAAAACTGGAAAGAAAACTGACATTTACATCCACAAAAACAATGCAGTCTAAAATGATTTCCTCGTTTTTTTTCGATGAAGTGAATCGAAATGAAGAGATCCGGGCCAGAGACAGTGGTCAAGGAAACAGAAGTGGATCAAGATCACTTCAAAGTAATTCGTTTCTACAGAGAAAAAATGAACCAACAGCCTTTACACAGCGCACTTAGAAGCTTCAACGTACAAGATGGTGCGCGCATGTCTGGAGTTTACGAGATTCATAGAAATAATGAGGTGAGCGTGAGGATTCTTATAAACTATGGACTGTTCAGCAACGATTACCTGGAGAGATTGCACGTGGGGTCATACCAAAAAAAAAACTTGTTTAAGTTAAGATTAGGTTTTATTTCAAACACTTCTTGAGTAGTTTTGACAGTTTTCTTACCAGGTGAAAAGCTTTCTTTACTGAGAAAAAGGAAAGTTCGGATTACGATTAAAGCATAGAAAACTGTTTTTTCAAGGAAAAGAAAAGTGAAAGAGAAAGTGTTCCCTTCACCTCGATGTTATATGTTATGTTACTTCCTACGATCGACGTAGGCAGCGGAGTTTTTAAAGCATGTCATTTCTAGCCGGCTTTGGTTTGTCTCCTTCGCAACTGTTGTGCGGTGTCGTCAAGGAAAATGCTCTTGTTTGGTCCAGCCACGTAACGTGAGTGTGTGTTGAGGGAGTTTACCAAACAGCAGTTGCGAAGCCGGGGCTAAGCTCTAATGTTGTTTCAACGTAGTCCAACGCCGTTGTCCTCTGATTTCATGACGTAATTTTCACAGATCATCTACATCGGAGGGAACCCTTATTTCAGCAACATCCGGGACTGTCTAAATGCTCATTTTAGCGGAAACGATGGACTTCCAATCGGCCGATATCTGAGCGGCCCTGGAAAGCGACGCTGGAGGAACATTTTCGTGCGATGGTTGACTTGTCTGAAACCCCCTGAAATTGTGTACTTCTTGTTAGAAGATTATCAATTGAGAAGTGGCACGTTACCAATTTATAACAACGCTCCTAGTGTTCAGTCAAGAGACTGGGATTCTGATTGAATTTACCAAGCTTCTCTGACTCGCATACTGTTTAGACTCGAGGGTATTTGTGGCTGAGAGCTTTTAAGTTCGAAATGTCAATAATTTTGATTTTTTATTGATTCAACTGCAGAAATTCCTGAATAAATGTCATACTCTTCGATCTATGGCGTCCTTTGTAAATTAACTTTCAGTCCTGATTGTCCCCCTTCTGTTGTAAATGGAATACGATAAATGCAGTCTTCTGTTTAGAACTAGTAGTTCCATTGTTCTTAAGTTTGGCAGTCCAGTCTGATCTAATTTCCATACCAGCAAACTTACGCACGCTTCAATGATAAATCCGCCAGCCAAATTTTCACTTTATGCAGGCTCAACTGTAACGAAGATATTCTGTGGGCGCCATTTTATAAACTTTTCCTTCGCTACGTTGTATTAGTTACCACCACGGATTTCATGAACCCCTTGATTTGCAGCAGTTTGAAAGAAATGCTGATAGATTTCCTTTCCCTGGTGAAAAATAAGCTATAGGGAGTTTTTTTTTTTGGATGGATCGGTACGTGCGAGTCAAAAAGATCGGCGAAGGGTCGTTTGGAAAAGCCTTGTTGGTGAAAAACAAGGCCGATGGAAAGCAGTATGTTATTAAGGAGATTGGCATTTCTAAGGCGAGTTTTGTCTTATATTTAGCGTCTAGTATCTATTGAAAGTGTCGATAAATGGTGAATTAATATTTTGATTGAATTTTGGTTGCGTTTTTGGTATCACAATAATTATGTACATTCGTGTAATATTTTAAGCTCATGTTACAACAGACCTCCAGTTTGACTTCCTTGATGTATATTTTCTAGATGTCACCTAAAGAGAGAGAAGAATCCAGAAAAGAGGTACCGTCTTGGATTTGTTCCGACAATAACTTTTGTTTTGTATAGATTGCCAGTCTAATGCACATCACGTTGCATTATAATTTTGGTCTTCTGTAAGTTCTGCAGCGTCCGTGTGTATGTTTATTTTGGTTATTGGTTTACCGCACAAGATGAGATTTGCATCGGAATTTGTTTTGCAAACTCTTAAACGCTCGAAATATGAGGCTTTGGCTGTTCTTGTATATTTTCTCTTCCAATGTGTGAATAGCAGGAATAAAATAAATTATAAATAAATGTTACTCCTTGATTTATTTTAAATAGATGCCATACATGAAGTTAACATTGGCATGAATCCTACAAAAACATGACAGGATCTTTCCATACCCTTTCCAGGAGAAAGAATGAGGGAACGGAGATATTTTACAGTCAAATTTAAGTGAAAATGAAGACTTTCTTTGATATTAAGCAAGAGAAGAAAAATGTATTATTTTAATAGTTCTGTTTTTCAAAGGTGAAAGTCTTGGCTAAGTTGAAACACCCAAACATTGTGTCGTACCAAGAGTCGTTTGAAGGTGAGAGATAATCTACATACATAGTCAAACATATATTTGTTGCAGCAGTTTTATTTTAATAAAATTAAAATGAAAAAACTCATTAAAATGAAAAAACTCTTAATAGAGAGTTGCACAAAAAAATTACCTTAAAACCTCTTCTAGCTGATGCTGATGCATCCTCTTATTAGTATAAACTATTCAACAGAAATAAGTTCATGTTCTACAGGTTATTGTAAAGAAAGTCAAAGAAAATAAAAAAAAAGAGAAAAAAAGAGCACTTTTATGATAGATTTTAAGGCTCAAGTTAACACCTCTTTTCTCACTTTGTCATTTCTTTCCTCTAGAAAATGGAAACCTCTACATTGTTATGGACTACTGTGAAGCAGGTATGTTAATAGAGTAAATATTATTATGTACAGCTGTAGCTGTAGTTATCGATAGTTTCCACAGGGCTGCAAATAACGGCAGGTCAAAGGACAATGTCCGGTCAAAATTGGGTACTGACCGGACAAATCCTTGGTTTGCCGGACATCTTGTCCGGTCCTTTACCGATTCGTTCTAAGAAATTTTAATTTTTAACTGTTTGATAATTACAAGGGACAACAGTAATGTTTCGGAAAAAAAAAAAATGAATATAAAAGTAGACAAATTAGTGGTCTAAAAATTCCTGGCAGTCGCAAATTTCCACGATGTCATCAAGTCTTGTCGTGACCGCAAATCATCGTGTATTCCGTTATTTTATTTGCTTTATTTAAGTGTTCCCAGTTAGTAGAGGGTTTTACCTTTGGCTAGATACCATAATTTACTCTTAAAGAAAGTGATTGATTGTTTGATTGATTGAATGATCAGAAACTGAGCACCCTCACGAAGAATAATCTTGCTGCATCAAGAATACTTCAAGTAGCATTTGCTGCAAAGTGCAAAAAGCGAGCAAAAGGCCCAAAACCTGGAGAATCCGACCACTCTTTTACTCTAACAAAAATTCACAATGGTAACTTTAAAAAAAAAGGGCTCTGAGTTGTACTGAAAACAAAAAAAGTCGAGACATATAAAAAGAGAGATCATTTGGCTGCTTCTGCAGTAAAGAGTAGTAAAGTTATTAACTTGTAATTTTTATTGCCAGACCAACTTGGATTCAGTTGTTTTTTTAGTTGTAAAAGGATTACTGTGCAATCTGGGTTCACTATCGCAAGAGTTCCGACTGTTAAAATTTGACCGGCCAAAAATGGGTAGTGTCCGAGCAAAAGCATGTTTGACAGGACAATGTGACCGGCGACTGCCTGTTAGTTATTTGCAGCCTTGTTCTAGGTCTGATATTGATTTTTGTGAAGCAGGGAAACTGGAGAATGTACAACAACACTTGTGAACCAAAAATGAGAAACTGTAGCAAACTAATTTTAAACTGCTGGAAGCAGTCTGTTAAGTCCCCGGCAAAACATTGTAATGGGCATTTGATTATATCCCAATGTTAACTTGTGCAATATAAATATTAAACCATTATTATCACACCAATATATAATGTGGGATCTGGGAATAGAACCCAGGTGACAGCTGTTGAAGAAAGAGCTCTTATCTCTGTACTCATTTATGCGATTTTAAAATGAATTAATTTTAGTACAAATATATAACAGTTAGATTTAACCTAGTGTTTTTGTTGATTAGTTCTCTTTTGATGACATTTGTTATCCCTAGATGAAGTCATCTGCCTTCTGGGATCTTGTTTGCCAATTTGGCTTGGGGATTCCTTTTTTTCGGGATTCCGAAGAAATGTAGAACAGCTGACTGACCAAAAGAATGCTTTTTTCAAATGTTAACTGCTAATGCTATGTATTAAAAACTGGATCATTGGATAATGCAATTTAGGACTTTTTATTGGGTTAGTCATTATGGTATATTAGCCAATATACCATAATCTACAAATATGGTAAGCATATGCGTCAACTTATAATTAAAAGGGAGCTAAAAAATTTAAGATTTGGTAAGATTTTTCTTATATCTTGGGGGTGTTTTTAATAAAACAATTATTCCACTTGCGCTTGTTGGATATAAGATGATTATAGCCGATACACGCTCGTGGAATAATTGTTAATTAGTATAATTTCAGAGCTGAGCAAAGAGTTTCCAGGAATCTGATTGGTTGAGTGGTTCTTTAGATGACGCTGTAAACTGCTCCACGCGGTTTATATAAAATGTTAAAATAAAATATGTTAATAAATATTATTAAAATGTTATGATTTTAGATGAGTAGCACAGTCACAGAGCCATTTGCTGTAACATAGTCCAAAAATAATTATTTTATTATTTTTTCACTTTTTATCACTTTTTGACTTTAATTTTGATGGAAATGTACATTGTAATAAATATCTGTAAATATTTTTATTATTTTGCATTAATAACACTAATTTTGGTATTACCCACAATCCCTTGTGGGCGTGGCACATTTCTGTTTTTTCGTAAAATCTTAAAAAATTCAATGTAAAAATGGGAAAAGAAGAGGTNTATTCCACTTGCGCTTGTTGGATATGAGATGATTATAGCCGATACGCGCTCGTGGAATAATTGTTAATTAGTATAATTTCAGAGCTGAGCAAAGAGTTTCCAGGAATCTGATTGGTTGAGTGGTTCTTTAGATGACGCTGTAAACTGCTCCACGCGGTTTATATAAAATGTTAAAATAAAATATGTTAATAAATATTACTAAAATGTTATGATTTTAGAAATTTCTCTGTTGTTCAGCTCTGAAATTATACTAGAACAATTATTTGCCTCAGGTTCGGTGAATATTGTCAAATAATTGTTAAATATCAATTTTCAGGTGACTTGTATAAAAAGATTAATGGCCAACGGGGAATGCAGCTGCCTGAAGACCAGGTAGGAAATTAATGTACATGTACTTTGAAATGTTCTCCTGAATAATTACCATGTCTGCAGGGAAGTTTTTTGCTGGTTCTACAGATTTAATTCAATTTTATTTTATTACAGGTTTTAGACTACTTTGTACAGATATGCCTTGGGTTGAAACATGTACATGATAGGAAAATCCTTCACAGGGATTTAAAATCACAGGTTTGTGATAAATATCAATTAATTTTGGAATGATTAACGTGCAAACAAATCTGATATTTCTGTTTACCAGCATTTGACACCTGAAAATCCTAAACTTGCTGTTTAAGTGTTGTTCACTCAGTGTTTTACCTTACAGAACATATTTTTAACAAAGAATGGAATAGTCAAGCTTGGAGATTTTGGAATTGCAAGGGTTTTACACAGGTGACAAGGATTTTTTAGGTTATGTAGCAAATTGTAATGTTTATATATCACTTAGAGTGAGATGCTTATAGTTTATGTGTGGTAAACATCTGCAAATGCACAAAATTTCCTCTCCCACTTTTCGTCTTATTTTTCTTTCACTCTTTCTTTTTTTTTTTCTGTCAAATATTTTCTGATCTGAGTTTTCTGAAAGGTGACTTCAAAATAAAGTGAGTTTGGCTTTCAAGGATCCTTTTTTTTTGTTTCTTTTTCAGCACCATGGAACTTGCACGTACCTGTATTGGTACACCATATTATTTGTCCCCAGAAATCTGTGAAAACAAACCTTACAATAATAAAAGGTGAGCTTGTGTTTAATTTTCCTATAACAGTAGATGTAGTCAAAGTGTACTGCTTGAGTAGTATCATTGTCATTTTGACAGTTTAAGTAATAATAATATTACTATTACAAGTATTGATTCAGTTTTTACTTATTTCAAAATTTTCATGTAGTGATATCTGGTCGCTTGGATGTGTTCTCTATGAATTGTTGACCCTCAAACATGCTGTGAGTATTTTCTTCATTCTTCCCTTTATGATATGTTTGACTTACAGTATTTTTCTTCAATGGTTTTGCCTGGAAAAATTACAAAAACTTTCTCATTCAATACTGGTGATTTTAATTGCAGTTTGAAGCAGGAAATATGAAGAATTTGGTTTTAAAAATAATAAGGTATGGAATTGGTCAAGGTATGAAAAATTTTTCATGCTGTTGCAAATAGTACTTCGCTCACATCCATATATCACAATTCTCTTCTCTCTACTTTCCAGTCTGGTCTGCCTGTATTTGATTATTATGTCATGTTTTAACTCACTAGTAATTTTATTATATTTAATTTGTATGACAACTGTACATATTTTTTAGCTTATAATGTAGTAAACTAATGCATGGCTTATAACCCCAATAATATTATAGTAATGAAATCTCTTTAGTTATTTGTAAAATCTCTTTAGTTTATTGTCATAGTGGTAACCAAACTTCTTTAGCTTGCAATGTGTAGTATTTACTTATTTATTTCTAATACCCACCAAGACTAGCTAATGCTATATGCGTGTTGTGTAAATTTGCTTGTAATGTTCTGTAAAATAATAATAAACAACAACAACAACAATAAACAATAGTCAATTTTCACTTGCAGACTGGTGACCACCTACAGTAGCAACTCTGTACATTGATTTTTTGCTCATAGCTTGCTGGCATGGCTGTGTAACTTAAACTGATTTTTCTGTACCAAATAACACTTTGTCATGTTTTAAGTGTTTGGACTTGTTCAGGAAGTGCAAATTTGAGGATGCTGTGATTCATTAACTTTCTAACCTATTTGTAAGTTTTTACTGTGACCTTATCTTGTTTTTGTGCTTGTTTTCACAGCGGGTCATACCCACCTATCCCCTATATGTACAGTGCTGACATCAGAGGCTTAGTTGCACAATTGCTAAAACGAAATGCCCAGTATGTGCTAAATCTACTGATTATGTAAAAAATAATTGATGTCTATGGTTTTGATTTGAGAATTCTGTTCATGTTGTAATTGCTGAAAGATAATGCATGCAATAAATCTTTACTGATTTCTCCATGCAATTACAGTGATCGCCCATCAATTAACTCAATCCTGAAGAAGCCATTCATTCAAAAAAGAATCGAGAAGTTTTTGTCTCAGGAGGTTAGTTGTTGAGGTCAATTTGATGAAATTAAAGCTTTCTCTCTTCTTTTAATTTGAAGGTTAGTTTTGATTTATGATCAAACTAAATAAAGTTAAACCTCAATTATTTGGATCTCAATTATCCTGACATGAGTAAATGTTTCCAAGTAAGCTAATGTTCTGCCAGAAATTGTTTTTTTCTTATGTTATTAAACAAGTGGATAACACCACAGCGTACACTATTGAGTTATGTATACACACGGTAAGTAGCTAAGCACAAAAGAAGCATTAAAGGGGAACTGAAGCCTAAAAATGAACCATTTTTAAATTGCAGCTTATACTTCAAATAGCAATGTTTGAGGGTTTTTTTCAGTCTGTGGGCCCAACTTCACCTTGGGAAAATAGTTTAAAGTGGTATTTTGTTTTTTTTTTTTATGTTATAAAACAAGTGGATAACACCATAGCATACACTATTGAGTTATGTATACACGTGGGAAGTAGCTATGCTCAAAAGAAGGATTAAAGTCACTCAAGGTGATAACAGATATTGACTCTAGCTTCTTGAGTGCTTTATTTTGTACTGTTATTTACTTGTACTTCAGAGGGTTTTTGTCAACTAGTTATTGCTGGCAAGTTATTGACTTGTTTGCTTTTTTAAAAACATATTTTTAGATAATGGCAGAAGAGTTTAGCCACACTGTAATTCATCGTAAGCCTCTGGGTGTACTTGGCCAGCAAAGGGTAGTACCCAAACCTGTAAATAAACCTGCTCCAGGTCAGTTGCTTTAATGCTGCAGTTTGAAGACATGATGTCAAACTCTACCATACCTGTCCTGCTTTTATGTGTTATCTGTAAACTTATGGATG